CCAGTGCAACACTCAGGTTTTCTCTCCCAGGGCTGAGCCAGTGCAACACTCAGGTTTTCTCTCCCAGGGCTGAGCAGCTTCTGAGGCACTGGAAGGCTGCGGCCTTTATGACTGACACTTCACAGCTGCACCTAGAGAGCGTGGGATAAACAGACAGTTCTACCCACGAATCTACTCAGCCACCTCTCTAACTGTATCGGTGGCTGTGGTCTGTTCAGAAGGCGTTTGTAAGGGCTGATTAAGGGGGCACTGTAGAAAAGACTTCCCCTCCCCCAGCACTCGGGAGACAGAGGCAGGTCAGTCTCTATAAATTCAAAGCCAGCTTGGTCTACATAGGGAGTCCTAGGCCAGCCAGGACTACACAGTGAGGCGTGAATTTAAAAGAGCAACAAAAGCTGAGCTCCCAATAGGTGCTTTAAAAACAGCATCCTTGCCAGGCATGGTGGCTACACAGAGAAACTCTGTCAGAAATGAAAGGAAGGAGAGAGGAACAGAGGGAGACAGGGAGGGAGGATGGATTGTGAAAATCAGAAACACTTAAAGCCTAAGTTCAAAGCCCACCTCTACCAGAGCCTCTGCGTGGTTATCACATGCGTAGATACCACATACAAAACTCCAGCACGGTACACTGCACATTAACTTCCTCACTGCGTGACGCCACCGGGTTCAGCTGCACCACTGACAGTGGTCTTCCGAACAGCGAGATCTGGGCTTCCTCTGGCAGGATGTAACTGCTTAGCAGTTACAAATGTCTCCTCGCTCTTCCTCACTATGCACCAGTTAACTCAACAGGTTCCAAACTCAGCTACGTGTGCACATTGAATGCAAAGTTCTCAATGGAGGCCCTAGACCCACGGGATTACAAAACCGTCGTCTCCCTAACAGAGAGACGGTAAAAAGCCCACAGCGGTCAGGAGACGCTCAGAACACGAGCGCCCTGGGGCTGGCTTTTCAGTGGGACGCGGGCAGGTCCCAGGACCGCAGCGGGCAGGGCTGGAGACCGGGGCGCGGGGAAGCGATGGAGCCGCCGCCGCGGAGGCTCAGCCCGCGCTCCCGGGACGCCATCCCGACCCCGTCCACTCACCTCGTTCAGCGATTGCGGTACACACAGGTTTCATCCACAGGCGGAAAACCTTTGAGGAGTCCTCCAGCCGAAACCCGGATGTAGCCCTGCTGGCGCGCCGGAATGACGTCACCCAGCGGTGGAAATGATGCGTTGTTGTCCCGGCAGCGACTTTGCACCAGGAGGGGGCGGGTCTGCGTAACGGAAAGACTAGTAAATCCCGTCCGCGCTGCTTCCGGTTCCACCCGAACTGAGGCTTATTAGACTTCGGGGCCAAGGGTACGCTATTGTCAGGCTATGATGCAATGATTCCAAGAAAATCGCTGCGGACGAGAACCGCCGGGTCCAGACTATCTGAACCAATGTCACGGGACCCTGAATAATTAAAATGTCCTCAGGACTCCATGTCGCCAAAAGGAAAGTCGAAGGGCCTAACCCTAGAATATCTGACCTCCTGGGAGATATTTCCCCGTGAGGATCCTCTCATCGCAGATTAAACAGCATGCATGCACGCTTCCTGGCTTTTGTCTCCTCTTTTCTGTAATGCTAGAAACAGAAAAGGCAGTGGAACCGAAGAACTTATCTCCAGGCAATTCTGGCCAGGCTGTAAATAAATCCATGTTCCTTTGCCAGCCCCTGTTCCTGTTTTCTTCTGAAATATAATGATACTAAGACAGCAGATTTATTGACCTAAGTGCCTCGTTCTTGGCTCTTTCAGGACAAGCCAGCGTGGGGCCAGGACAGTTTAAGGAATGAATGGGCGGAAGGAGTGCCCAAGCCATCTCTCCAGGAAGCAGTTTTATTATTTTCCTCTCTGCTCTAGATATTTCTCTGTTGCTGTGATAAACAACTAGGGACAGACGGGGTGGGTTTTTTGTTTGTTTTGATTTTTCTTGCCCCCCCCCCCAAGACAAGGTTTCTCAGTAGCTATGGAGCCAGTCCTGGAACTCGCTCTATAGAGCAGACTACTCCCAACTCACAGAGATCCATCCGCCTACCTCTGCCTCCCAAGTGCTAGGGTTAACGGCATGCGCCACCACTGCCCGGCTTGATTTGGTTTTCACTGTATAGCCTGACAGTTCTGGAACTCGCTCTGTAGACCAGGCTGACCTCAAACTCAGCTTGCCTCTGCACGGGATTAAAAGCCTATGCCACCATTGCCAGGCAAGAAGGAGCATATTTCATTTTATACTTTTCTAGGTTGTCGTCTATTTCAAGTTAAACAACGAGTTAGTTTTCTCTTATAAAGAGCTAAAAGGCTATTCGTGTCCTAGCGGAATTTTTGGTTGGTTTTTTGTTTTGTTTTGTTTTTGAGTTAAAAGGCCATGTCTTGGTGGATTTTTTGGTCGGGTTTTTTGTTTTGTTTTTTTAAAGATTTATTTATTTATTATGTATACAGTGTTCTGTCTGTCTGTATGCTTGAGGGCCAGAAGAGGGCACCAGATGTCATTACAGATAGCTGTGAGCCACCATGTGGTTGCTGGGAATTGAACTCAGGACCTCTGGAAGAACAATCAATGCTCTTAACCTCTGAGCCATCTCTCCAGCCCCTTGTTTTTGTTTTTTTAATGGTTGGTTTTATTTTTGCTTTTCCCTGCCATCTTGACACACACAAGAGTTATCAGGGATGGCCTGTAGGCAGATCTGTGGGATCATTTACTTGACTAATGATTGATGTTGGAGGGCCCAGCCCATTGTGGGTGGTGCCACCCCTGCTCTGGTGGTCTTGGGTGAGCATGGAGAGCCAGTCGATAAACAGTGTTCCTCCATGCCTTCTGCTTCATTTCTTGTTTTTCCATAGTGAACTTAACCTGTAAACCAAGTCAACCCTTTTTTCCTCAAGTTGCTTTCGGTCATGGTCTTTACAGTACAGTGATAGAACCTAACTAAAACACACAGGGAAAACCTATTAGCGAAACTATCGGGGAGTCCGTCCGAGCCACCATGGTCACTGGTGACGTCAGGGTCCTTCTTGGGATTCTAGTCACATTCATGAAAGAATTTAAGAACAGATCCAAATGCAAGCTAGAGGACAGTCCTTCCAAAGGCAGGCAAGCTGTAGCTCTCCCGGCTTCCCGAGGAGAATGGAGAGAAGAAGGAAAGGCATGATGCCATTTGAGACACCAACATGGAGGTCAGCCACATGGTGGGGAGCAGGTATTAGAAGATAAATCTGACCAGGTGGTGGTGGCTCCCACCTGTAATCCCAGCACTCGAGAGACTGAGGGAGTCGATCTCTGTGAGTTTGAGGCCAGCCTGGTCTACAAGAGTTAGTTCCAGGACAGCTAGGACTGTTACACAGAGAAACCCTGTCTTGAAGGGGGCGGGGCGTGTCTGGATGCCCAAAGTACAAATTTAAAGAAAAAACCCAGGGAAGGCAAGCTAGAAATCTAGAAACTACCAGGGGGAGGAGACTGGAGAAGGGGAAAGCCGCGTCAGAAGATGAACTGGCTCGAGGTCAATCACGTGGCGGGGGTGGGGGGCCCTTCAGAGAATGAGCAAGGAATCCCAGTGCATGGATATTAAAAGTATACTTACACTGGGGAAGAATATTCCCACACATGACAAAGTGAAAGTAGCCCAGCCAGGCATGCAAGCACACCCGAGCTACGAGTCTACTTCATTTCTCTTCTGATGAGGATGGTGTCTGTGTAACACCCTGTTGTAGGGGCTCAACCTCAACTTGGCACGATTGACTACTTCACAATCTTCACAAAGGGGAAGCTGTGATAGTTAATTTTCAGAAAGGCCTGGCTCTGGGACTGGGCATATCCTACAAGAGTCTCACAGAATGTGTGTGTGTGTATTATAGAATACTGGCCCTTAGGCAAGCTAGCTATTTTAATAAACCAAAACAGAACAGAAACTTTCTCACACTTAGGTTCTGATCAAACCCCAAACTAAAAAGACAAATATATATATATATATATATATATATATATATATATACCGGGCATGATTACACACCTCTTTAATTTCAGCAGTAGAGAAACACAGGTGATTGGATCTCAGCAAGAAATGGCCTAGATAGCAAGTTCCAGAATATCCAGGGCTAAATAATGAGATCTTGTCTCCAAAAAATTAAGAGAAATGAAAGAAAAAAAGAAACAAAAAGAAAAGGGAAGTTATATTTTTCTGAGTCAGAACTCAGAAAGACCCAAATGAACCTGGGTGGGAATTTACACGACTTTAAGACAAGCCTTCATGAGGGTCACCTTAAACAGGTCCTTGACCTGCCCCACTGGATTAACCCGTAAGGGAGTGGGGGAGACAAAAGCATCACTCCGCGTAGTGTTCTCAACCTGTGAGTCACGATCCCTTTGGGAAACCTCTATCTCCAAAAATATTTACATTATAATTCATAACAGTAGTAAAATTAGTTATGTAGTGGCAGTGAAAATAATTCTATGGCTGTGGGTCACCACAACATGAGGAACTATATGGAAGGATTAGAAATGTTGAGGGACACTAACCTAGAGGCAGATTCAATCCTTTTCTGTAGCAAATTTATTGTTGAGGGAAATCAGGACGGGATTTCTAGAAACCACAGAGGAATGCTGCTTGCTGGACGGTCCCCCGGCTCATTCACAGACTCACTCAAATTTACTTAGCTTTGTTATACAGCCCAGGACCACCTACCTTGGTGATGCCCACAGTGGTCTGGGTCCTCCTGCCATCCCAAATAGACACACCCACAGGCCAAGCTGATCTGGACAATCCATCAAAGCTTTCCTTTCAGGCGACTGTGTCAAGCTGACAACTAGAGCTAACAAGAGCATTCCAAACCGGCTGGTAAATAAATTCATTCATTCATCCAATGGTCCTAGTAAAAGAGTGCATAGGAGCTCCACCCAAACAATATAACAAACGGAATGGGTGGAAGGTTAGCAGGGGCATTAAGAGGGACACTGAAACAGATTACTGGGAAGTGGGGAGCTCATTAGAAAAGCAATTAACACCATGGACAGACAGACAGGCATAGTGGGGCCTCCAAGGAGAGTTCAGAGCCCCAGAACTAAAGACAGACTACAGCAGGGACTTCTTACAGAGACTCAAAGCCCATGAGGAAGAAGTGAGGGGTCTGTCTTTATACTTTTCTGAGGATAGGAAGTTTCACAAATATGAGCCTGGATGTCCTCAGGTCCCGAGACTAGGGTTGTTTTTCTGAGAAATGATTTGAGACAGGGATGAATATAAGCCCCCGGAATCTAGACCAATGACCTAACTCCACATGGAAGCCTCCCACCTCAAAGACGGGTGTGTCCTTCATCAAGATTCCACAGTTTAAGGCCAGACAGTGATTTAAGGCACACGCCTTAAATTCTAGCACGCAGGAGGCAGAGGTAGGTGGATCTCTGAGTTTGTGAGTTCATGGCCAACCTGGTCTGCATAATGAGTTCCAGGACAGCCAGGACTACACAGAGAAAACCTGTCTAGAGAAAGAAAGCAATTCTCAGTTCAAATGCTCAGTCTTTGGGAAAGCAAAGATAAAAAATATTCAGAGACATAGATTCAGGGGCCCTTATATCCATCCCTATGTCCTGTCATTTCTCAGATAAAGACCTAGCCTTGGGACTTGGGGACATTCAGGGCCATGTCTAGAAGCTCAACGAGGTACTAAGACTTGTAGGGGTTTCTAAATAACACGGCTCCTCATCAGGAATGTGGTAGGCCCTCTGACACTCATTGGTCCATCCCCCTCCTTCCAGAGAAGAGAATATAGAGAGGGCCTTGGAGGAGGGCAAGTGCCTGCAGCTTGAGGCAAGAACAGAACCAGGCCTGGACCCCAGGAATGCAGGCATCACTACTTTCTTCTCTGAGGTGACAGAGGGACTTCCATACATTCAAGGTCATAGTCAAAGACTTCTGAGACACCATTTCTTTCTCAGCCTTCAAAGGGAGCTTCCAGTGTCCCCCCCCCCGACTCACTCTCCATGCTTCTGACCACTCCCTGTGTAGTTTCTAAAGATTGTGTGGGGTGTGGGGAGCCTGGCTCAGTCACAACTTTAAATAGGCTGGTACCATAGAAACAACCCTTAGGTGGCAATTTCAAAGCTGATGTATTTAAAGTCTAGCACATGTACTTTTTCTTAGGACAGTGACATTATGCCATGGCACATGTCTCATTCTTATTTTGAAGTCTGTTACAAAAATAGACATGGTGTACTGAACTTGGCA